CAGGAATGATCAGAGATGCTTGTATCTAATAGATATCCTTCCTGTTGGCACAAGCGGTACCACAACACTTCATCTTCTGCAAGTATTTTCCATGTCCTGCTGACCTAGAAATCAAATTTTTATATATATATATAGCATGAAGTTATAAGTAAAAATTAGCTTTCATATAAAATTATTTAAATAACATCTGAAATATACACATATAAAACAATATAGGCCTGCACAGAGACTAAATTCTTATCCAAACAAATATGGACAGTATAGAAAAAAAAAAACCCTCTAACAAAATGCTTCTTCTCTGTGGATTCTCTTGAAAATAACCGAGTTTCTACTCCACTAAAACTCCACGCAACATAGATACCAGTGTTTAGTGGCCACACCGCCAACCTGAAATGTCAGTGTGTTAGAAAATCTTGAAGGAAAAAGCAGCAAGAAAACAATTAAGACAGCGTTTTAAGTTTAGAGCAAAAATATGAACGTATTTTCACATTTGTAGCTAAAAAACCCTCTCAGATCACACCACCATATCTCTAAAGTCCTACTGACAATGCCTGATTAGGTGTATGACATTAGTGATTTATAACCTATTGTATTACAGTATGCATAAATGGGAATGAATTATTAAGTTTTTCAAGTAGCCTCAAGTTGCTGTCCATTTCAGAGAGAACAGCTTCATCATAATCAATTGTGGGCTTAGAATTAAAGATTCAAGAGGTAAGAGCCAACTTAAGTAGCATTTGTTCTCTGTAATTCTTAATTTAAAAAAACAGATGTAACCAATGAAAACTGCTACTGGTGAAGGCAGCAATCAATTGTACACTGCTTCCAAAGGATAAAAAAAACCCTACTCAGACTGACATCATTTTTAGTGACTTACAATTAAGCTTCTTATGTCTGTTTCAGTCCCAAGATTCGAGGTCTCTCATTGATACAAATTCTCACAGGACCACATCTTTGTGTTTACTTGCTATTTGTTCCACATTTACACAGATACAACAGGGCACAGTGGGGTGAAAGATGAGCTATTACTTGTTCTCTATTTTATAAGATGGATCTCCTTTGTATTTTATCATTATCATGCACACCTTGCTTCAGACTTGTTAAAACCACAGCTTTCAAATACAGAATATAGCTTCACAAAATTATATAGCTGGAGGAATACTGAAAGTATGGGATCTTTTTGGCTGGTACAGATTTGCAAGAAGTCCCTGCAGAACACAAGCTGTCGGAGCAACAACAGGTGCAGTGAGGCTTACAGAGAGGTTCAGAAAACAACACCCCCTGCCTTAAATAAATAAATCAATCTCAGAGTTTGCAACGTGATTTGGAAAATTTTACATGGGATGACTTGGAAGAGCATGCCTTAGTCTGCAGCATCAGGCCAAGACTAACTAGTCAGCCCAACCAAGTGAGAGTACCCACAACATCACAGGGAGACAGCAGCTAAGGTCCAGAAAGAAGGTCAGCCCCATCAACACTACCCTGCATCTTACAGATCTCCTTGGGTCATAGTATGTGCAAAAACATCTTACACACATGGTCCCAAACCTCCTGGCATACTAGATCGCCCCCGAACAGTGGGATAGTATGGTCTGCAGCAAACAGCACAGATCCCCCCTTGGAAACTTTGTGAAGCTTCTAGCCATCTTGGTTACGTTGCGTTGCCTGTTGGTCTTGCTGTAAAGACACACATGCAGCATTACTGCTCCTAAAACCCAACATCCTGCTAGGAATCAGGAATTGCATCATAAGATGCATCTCATGACCTGTTTCTTCCAAGGGGGAGAAAAAAAAATTAATATGAGAGAAGAAAGGGGGTGGACTGAGCAACCTCCATATGTTTTTAAGATTTAATACCTACTTATAAGAGTGGCTCTCAAACAAGAAGTTTAGCAGAGCTAATATTCCAGTTATTCACCAAAAGACCTCAATTCAAACTAGCAGACGTACAATCCCCTTCCGTCATCAGACAAAGAAAACAACCGGGATAAGGCAATCCTAACTGCCTTACAAATGACAGAAACAGCACAACAGCACCGAGTCATCTCCAGCATTATACATCATCCTGTAATAAAAAAGCAGTGCTTAATGCTCCTGTCCCTATAGGGGCACACTCAGGAAGTTCAAAAGCAAAAAATAAAAAAAAAAGCAATCAAAATTTCAAACTGTTACAGTTTAGTGGCGAATTTGCTCTCAATCTGATTTTAAAGTAATATAAATACTTATACTATTGCTCAAAGGGAAAAAAAAAAAAAAAGAAAAAAGAAAAGAAAAACCACTCAGCTTTTTGCTGACACACACAAAAAAGCAGCTGTTCTGCAGGAGTTGAACACCCCAGCCAAGCCCGGCTGACAGTAACCGCACCTCTGCCCCCCACCCGTAACAGCAGCACGTTTGCGCCGACACGGAGGGGACAGGCGAACGCACAAGCAGAAGTGAACAAAGCCAAACCATGCCAACTTTGCCTTGCGTTTAAAAAAAAAAAAAAACAAAACACCAAACCCCCAAACCCCCCTAACACACATCCCTTTGGAGTTTGCCAGAATAGACAATGTCGCACAGACCTTTCTAGTTTCAAGGTCTTAAAAGCATTTTATAAAGACAGTAAAAAAAAAAAAAAAAGGGGGGGGCGGGGGAGAACGACTACATAAAATTTAGACTGCCTTTTCAACTTCCAGGAACAAACATTCAAGGGGAATAAAGATCCTATCCTATTATGATTTTTTTAAATCAAATTACATCGAATCCTGCTGCTTTACAAGCATGAATTTCCAAAGGGTCCCCAACACAGCCTTTTCTTAATGCACCAAAACTGGCATGACAATCCCTTGTAAAAGCCCCACTGAGCGAGCCTCAGCTGCAAGAAATCTCTAATAAAAGTGTCTCAAGCATTTCACTTTACAGCACCACTGTGAGCTGCCGCATTAAAACCAGCCATTGGCTTGAAGTCAGCTTTATTAGATCTGCTTGACTTAGAGTTTCAGGTGAGGCCCCGATAGCCAGAGCGTTACGGCTTTATTTATATACACCCATACATTCTGCTTGTTGGAGAGTAGCTGAGACGCGCGTAGCTCCTATTAAACTAGGAACATAATTATTTCCAAATCTACCCTACGTAGAAACTCCAACAACAATCAATGACAACATCTTACAGAGTTGTTTATAGATTTAGAGTCCCCAATTTAATTTTGTCTTTAGTGTTCCTATTCTCTTTTTACTACAGTTCTCAACCGTTCTCAGCAAAGAAACTTTGGTTTCCCACGAGCGCCATGCAGGAATAGTTTTTATATCTTATAGTTCAGCAAGCAATAATGTTCTGAAGGACTTCAAAGGTTTTTGCTGACATAGGTTTTGCTATTTGGTTTTGCCTTTGGGGGATATTTTTTTACCCCAGAAAAAAAAAAACCCACCACCAAACCTAAAAAACCCCACCTCTTCCACCACATCCTAAATTTCTCCTAATCCTGTCTAAATCAACTGGCTCAAATCCTAATGAAGGTTTATTCATCCCTCTCCATCTGATAATTGTCTTTGTTTCATTAGGTTTATTTTCTTCCCCAGTCACACAAAGACATAGTCAAGGTTCATTCACCGAAGCCAGGGGCCTCAATTAGGAATATCTGGACTTTCAATTCAGCACAATACATAGCGCCAAACAGTATTTAATCCAAAGCCATTCAGATGCACATTTACCAGGTGGAAGCTGCTCATCTTTTCAATTCACAGCCATAATGTTATTTTAAGCTTCATCCTGAGCCCAGGATATCCTTATCCATCAGTTTCTCTGCTCTCTCTCAAAACTATGAGGAGGATGGATGATTACTTTTACCCATATATGACTGATGCAAAAGTATGCTCAAAAAATACAGGAGATTTTCTTTTTTTAAATGTCTAAACACTCAAAGCCTAACAGTTCGACAATTCCAGAAGCTCTAGAGGCAACCATCTGAAATTCTTGATCTATGCAAGACAATTAATTCTTAAATTCCTAGAAACAGTCTCCCTTGTCCTAGATACATACACAATTGTTGTGTTGGTAAACATTTCTAAACCACGTCTGGATGAAAATGCTAACAGTTCAATTTCCCACTGATCCGTTGAGAAATAAAACTGCCTCAGCATTGCCAAAATTCAGTATGTACTATCGAGAAGTATTTCACACCACAAAATGCAACTTATGCAGTTTCTGGTATTTACTAGAAAGCAGTAACCACTGTGAGCATACGGAGAAGTTCATCGACGAGACACATCACCTTGTCACAAAGCTGAGCCAGGTCCTCAGGCCACCAGTGAAGCTCATTGCAGACACCTGCAGTATCAGCCCCAAATAACACAAAGAACTTCTGGTGCGTTTCAATTTGTCGTACTTGCAGTGTCCCAAGTGATTGTTTTTCTTTTCCCTCTACATCACGACCAAGAGGAAGGACTGGATATTCCCCAACCTACTCATCCCCAAAGTATGATGTTCATAGCATACGTATTTCTTTCAATGGTCAGAACAGAATCAAAAGGTGCTCATAGGGCTGGCACAAGGTGGAGGGAAAACTTTGCCATTACTCTGGATGGTTCTGCTGACACATTAAGTCCTGGATACCTTTCTCTTTGAATTATAAACATGGGATATCAACAGGGACTGGTCTGCTGGATGCTACTGAATATCGCCCAACTACTGCGAACCCACCAGAGCTCAGGAACTGATGACACCATTAATTTACATGCTGCACATGGCTTTCGTATTTCAAGTGCCATACGGCTAGTTTGTGTTTTATAGTACTAATTCCAAAAATCAAAGAAAAGCTGTGGGGAAGAGGGGGAGGGGGAAATATCAGGGTGAAATTAAAGTTCTCCAGAGCAGTCTGTGGTGTGATTAAATCTCAAAGAGGCTCCACAGTCAGGCTACTTTACTGTTAGTCGGTTACCAATTTGGCATAAAGAACTAAGCAAACAGGTTTTCTCCAAAGGCACTCGCATAGTTCATGATGCCAATTCCACTAACTGGCCCAATTTCACTAAAATCCCAAGGCGCCTTAATAAAAAAAAACCTTTCTACGATAACACCGTAAAGCAGCAGGGCTTTCCATTTAACAGAAGAGGGCTTCCCCCCCCTTCAAAAACAAAATCACCAAGAGAAAAATGAAAACGGTATTTATTTTTATTGCTTTGCTTTTTATTTGAACACTTAAAAAGAAGCCAGCTCTGCACGAAAAGTATTGGATATTCATCTCATTCGGAAAGCCTTGTACAACACCGGGCATTTGCTCAGCTATCTGTCAGCTGCCACGTAGGACCCACTGACTCAGTCTTAGAAGGCAAAAGAGAAATGAGGAGATTTTTCTCAGTTTTAAATACATCTTATGAGAACAGGTTCAAGTTAAAAACCAAAGTGAGCGAGAGAGAAATCAAGTGCAGCCCAAGCGCAGAGAAAAGGAGCTGCCCTTCATCAGCCAATCTTTTTACTATGTCATGAGGTAAACTGATCATGCCTAAGGAAAAAAAAAAAAAAAGACAGAGAAAGAATAACCTTAAAGTAATCCACTTCAAAAATGCAATCCTGTTCCATTTTGTGGAATGTGCCCTTTACTGATCATATATCTCTACCTCAAACGACAGAAACTCGAGAGTATCTGAAAGCTTCAGTCTCCTGGACAGCACCAAAAAATAATCCTAGAGAACTTTTTTCCTCTTCAACAGGAGGCTTGCAAGAGGAATTCTTTTTCTTCTAACAGTCCTTGTTCCTAAAAATGCATTAGCAAGTCAAAGATTTAGGCAATAACCACCTGTAGCTATTCAACACTATGACTTACTCATGCTGAACGTTCAAAGCCTAATTTTATTTCGACACATGTGCCATGTGGCTAATACTTGTGTCTCATTTACCATCCACAACAAAGCTATACCCTGTCTGTCACTTTTCAGATTTTACATGTTAATTTTTCTTTCTCTTACAAACAGTCCGGGGCATGGTTCGAGAATGGTTCTGGTTGAATTTCTGTGAAGTTGCAAGATGTGCTTTGTACATAAAAGTTCAACGAACACCAGCCTGAGACACTAAATAGTGGCCATGGGAGAAGCTGGCAATGAATATCTGCAAGATTCTACTTTGTTTCACAGGGTAATCAGCGCTTGCCAATGAAGTTTGCTTTAAAGACTCATTCAGAGAGGAGGTTCATCATTCAATGTGTGAAAGAAAGGAGATAAAGAGGCTCAACAGCATGGGCTGAACAGTCCTAAGTATAGTCAGATGTGTGTGAGTGTTTAGCTTGGTAAAGCTACTGGAATAGACAGGCAGTTTATAAACACATAAATTACGGACCACGTCTGAGTACAGACTGGTAAAAACATTACCTTGAAGTATCTCCAAAGAAAAATATAAACCCCTTGTGGGGTAGAGGGTGAAGGAGGAGGAAACCAGTGTCATTTAAGAATTTAGCCTCACATTAAATTACTACAGACAAGAAGTTACTACTCCAATTTTTATGGTCCAAGTCACACACTGAAAAGTGGGAGGGAACAGCTTTTTTGCCATGCCCTTAGCACTGCAAAATGTTAAGTTCTAAATATTGCAGCAAGACACTCATTTCTAAATACATTCTCTTGAATCAAAAGATCTTTGCAATTATTTATTTTAAATTTTAAGGCCTCACTTTTGTCCAAGCCACAAATGTTTTATTTAACTCTATTCAACTGCGAGCTATAAATCCAGCTCATTTACTAATTTTTTTTTCAGTTCAGCTTTGGAAGTATTTCCAACAAGCAAAAGCACAATCCGCTGAGCTTCTAGGGCTACCACACATCTTCCCTGCATCAGGGTGCCTGACTGTTTTTTGAATATTTCTGCCAATTTTACCCAGTATCAGAGAAGCAAACTGTCAGCAGCACTTACCTGAGCACACCTTCCCAATTCACTCTTGCCCAGGTACTGAAATATCTTCAGTGCCAGTTCATAAGGCAGCTGGACATCAAAGAAAGGAACCTCATTTATTTCATTCTGAAACGGAAAAAAGAGAAAATCATTTGTAAGGCCTCTCTGACTCACACCTAGACAGCAGCAAAAGCTAGCACAGGACAAAGAAATGATGTTGTATCCTCAGTGCCATCACAGTTCCATAAAAAAGGCAGAATTAATTCTGCGCCTCCTTCCCGTATCGCCACAACATCAGACAGACCACACTGGCATGAAGGTACCCGAGCTACTCTTTGTTCTCTCCGAGTCATATCAGGTAGAGAATATTAGAAGGCTAAGCAGAGCTAAAAAGCAAATTGAGGAGAACTGCAAGGTTTATCTACAGTCAGATGGCAGAGAAAGGCGAGACAGAAGTTCTAGTAAAAAAGTTTGTCTAAGGTTTCAGCATCAAAAAGACCAAACAAGTGCATGCTTTGAAGACATATGCCCATTACTAATTTCACTTACAAGATTTCAAAAACAGATGATGGAAAATGAATAAATATTTTGATATAAAACTGAATGGAGATGATGTTACAATTTGTTTGTCTTCCATTAGTGACATATAAATGTCTCTTTAATATGAAATGTGCTGAAAGAGTGGCTGCTTCAACTGCTTAAGTATCTCAAAAAAAAAAATTTAAACCAAAGAATCCATCATTTAAATCTAACAGCTAAATGCAGCAAGTACATTTTTCCTACATATTATTTTTTTGTTTAACTACATAATTATTAAGTCTTCTTCCTGCAGTTATCATATCCAGATTTGTCCTCTCCCTCATTTCTGTCTGGATACTCCAAATTTTTATACTATATAATAAAGAGAGAGCAAAATCAAACCATTCTGACCATTTCTATGTCACCCATTTTGCTCTCTAGTGGTTTTTTTCCTGGTTTCTGTATGCCCCAGGTGCTCCCCAACACCTGATCTCCGGCCACTCTCCATGAATTCCCCCCCCCCCAAAATTATTTGCTCAGCTAAAATCTATCTTCCTTGTTTGCTGTCAGAAAGTCAGGTGGATCCCAAATTCAGATCAATCCCCTGCCTCTTAGCACTTCTCTAGCCCCGATACCTTTGTTTCTTTGTCTACAACCACTCCTTGCTCATTTAAACCTGGACGCTTGGCAGTGCCAATGAAGTGGCAAAACCAGGCAATGCTGGGTTTATTTAAAGGACAGTTAGACAGGAAAACTATTGTGTAATATGGTTGGGTGGAAGTTTTTAACGCAAACAGTATTCCATGCTAAGTAAGTGTTTAGACAGCACAAATATGGGCAATGGTCCCATTAGGTCTTGTTAGCAAAACAGCACCAGTTTATAAACACTGGAACCTTGCACTTGTTCTAAAGTTACTTAAACAAGATCTTCCTGCTCCCCTCCCTCCTTGTCCACAGTTTTCCTGCACAAACAGCTCTCTTTCCTTTCCCTCTGCATGAGGACCGCTGGCTGCACTCCCTGCTGTGGATTTAAAAGAAGATTGTTTGCTTTCATGTGATTTAAATATACTTCCACTTCCAAAGTGGACACCAAAAAAAAAAATAATAATAAAAGGAACTCTGAGAGCACATCTCCACGGCCACATGCAGACAGACCCCAAGCTGGCCAGATGTGAACCAGCTCGGATCCAGGAGCTGCATAACCATTTTGGAGCAACACGCTGCCCAAACAAATAAGATGAGCCATTCGGCAAGGCTTATTAGCTCCAGGCTTATGAGCTCAGGCACAGCACCACTATGAATATATTGCTTCCAAACTGGAGTTGACTCGCATCCAACCAGCAGAACCTGGTCTGTCTGCATGTACCCAGAGATATCATCAGAAGGACAGACTGCCTACAGACAGACCAGTACAGACACAACAGTCAAGAGTGACAGCGCTCTCATGAAAAAGGGAAAACAAAATACCAAAAAACAGCTACACAGATTTTCTTTTAAACTAATCTGCAAGGGTATTTATAGCCAAACCACAAGTGTGAGCTTGTGACAAAGCACAAGCAATGGCTCATACTAATTCCATTCTAATGTCACCTTAACATTAGAGACAGATCAAGGTCTTCCCTTCCCTCATCCCAAAAATTCCTGCAGCTTGGTCTTCAGCACAGTGCTCGCTGCTGCAAACGAAGAGGTAATGTTAAGTCAGCACCAGCCTGCCTAAAAGTCTACTGGAATGAATCCAAAACTCAAATGCTACCATCCCCTCTGAGACAGATTTGGGCTCCTGTGTGCTAATGGAGGACTAATTCTGTAAATGGATTAATTTGTGCCTTGCAGACAGAAATTTAATCTGTTCCTTTTAATTTTTTTAAGCAAAGAGTAATTAGTCACAGTTAGGTTAGCGAGAAGCAAGAAAATGGATTTCCCCCCTAGTTTTCCTACAGTGTAAATAAAATCTCTATTGCATTTAGAGAATTTACCAAAATAACTTTTATCTGGTTCAGAACTGTATTTAAGACTATTTCCAAATTAACTCCTTTATTTAAAGAATTAATACTTGTTTTCTTACTACACTGCTGTGTCACAAGGCAGGATATCCTTAATTACTGCACCTGCATCAAATAGCTTAAATAAGCACCAGAACCCTTTTTTGAGAGGAAAAAAAAATAGCATTTCATAGGAAGAAAAGTAGATTTTGGACGGTGAAAATCTTGTAAGACAAAATGTGTTCGGAGTTGAGGTGATCAACAAGCTCGCCGGAACCCAAAGCTCAGCGCCTGCCTTCCTCACCCCCTCCCGGAGGGGAGGCGCCGACGGGCCCTGCTCTCCGCTCCCCG